GAAGGCAGAGCTTGGCTCATTCAGCATTTCTAAGGGGGACAAGGCATGAAAGCACTGAGCTCCACAAAGCCAATAGGCTTTTTCTTCTATAAAATCCAGTTCTAATCCCTTCTGTATTGGCATATGTGGCCCTTCCAGACTGATCTGTCTGGTGCAAAGGGCAGTGTGCAGCCCAGAGTTTTACCTTGGGTAAATGAGAGCTACTGCAAAAGCGTCATGCCCCTGAGAAGAGCCGCCACCGAGGCTGGGCTGCAGCAATGTTTGTAGATTCCCAGAATTTAAAGGAAGAGGTTTGTATTTAACTAACCCCTGTGATTCAGGCATCCAGTGAAGCAGGAGAAAAAAACATGTGTTTCAGATTAGCTGCAGCTGCAAAGAAAACATCCCTGTTGGTAGAAATAAAGCCACGTGGCTGCAAGGGCCACAGCTGTAGAACCAGCCTGATCAGGGTGAAGTTTTGCTTCAGTGAAAGGGAGTTTGCTCTGTGTTTTTCTATGGAGCCCCTTTTCTTTTGGAGGTAGTCCTGCCTTAGAGAAAAAGGTATCACGGTGGAGATTTTAGCAACCTCCTGCTACCCTCACTGAGGAGATAACGTGTTCTAGTAGAAAGGATGCACATAGAGAGGTTTTACTATGCTGGAACAAGCTGACCTGTTTGAAAATACAGATGTGAGGTAGAGACTGAGCTTGTCTCATTGCATAGTTTTAAAACAAACAGCCAGCATGCTGATACAGAGATGACAGAACCCCTGCAAGAGCCTAAGTGAAGGAGATCTTTGATAGGGCTTTGAGGGTGCCTGCACCAAGCGTGATGAGTGGAAGAGGTTCAGGCCAGTCTAGTTTGGGGATGAACTTTTCCATGGAGCCTTTAGCCTTTCCTCTAAAAAAAAAAAAAAAAAGAAGGGCTGGACACAATCTCTGCTTCCAACTACCCTGAGCTCCTGGGAGTAGAAGCGGAGATTGGATTCCCAGATTTGTATTGTTTTTGCCAGTACTGTTACCAGCTTCATATTTCTCAGGCTTTGCCAAAAACCAATTTCCATTTTAGAAAGACAAAGCCTTTTGCATCTGAATGGGCCTGAACATCTGGATTCCATTTGCACGTCTCTGAGCCCGCAGCCAAAACTGCAGAGAGAAAAGAATTTGGTTGGAGTAGAGGTGGGATGGTTTCGCGCATGGCATTAAAATCTGTAGCAGCCTTTAGAAAGAAGGGATGGAGCAGCAGCCTGCAGCATGTGATGTTACAGTCAGGAATACAGCTGAGAGAAATGAGCTGAGAAGAAACCTTCTGCCAGGGAGTTGTCTGTTTGGAAGCCCTGCAGGTACAAGGTGAAATACTTTTCTTTCCATTAACAGTGTGAAAAGCCTCAAATAATTTATAAATGCTTTTCATCCTAGAGGTCCTGTAAAACATCACCCACGATTTCAGACTTGCTCTCTCTGATTGCTCCATCTCGCAGTGCCAACCGCTTCCGAAGCATCTTGCAGCCACTAGATCTAGGGCATTCGAGTCAGTCTTGACCAAAAGTGTTGCCGTTGCAAGGAGGAAACCTCCTCAGCAGCTGCTGGGAGGGCAAAACGCTGCTGCAGCTCCCAAACACACTTCTCCCCTGCGAGCAACAAGGGAGGCTCCCAGATCCCTCCCTTGGTCCCAATCTGGCCCCTTGACACCTGCATTAGACCCGTGCTCCCCTTCCCCAGGTGCCAGGTCCCCAGCCTGCTCCCTCCTGGGCTCCCCTCTCCGCAGGCTCTCCCGCAGCTCCATGGACGCATGCCCTTACCTGGGGCTCGCGGTGTTCAGGGGCGCGCGGCTCCGCGGCGGGGCGGCTTGGGGACAGCGCGGGGACAAGTGGGGCTCTGGTGCAGCCACAGCTGCTTTTTGCTGCCTGCCCCGGCCCAGCCTTCGCAGGCTTCAGGTTACAGCTTCCCAGGGCTCTCTTAAAGTGCTCTGCTCCCATTTCCAGCACTCCTTTCCAGTCAGCTACTAGTTTTTTTAACCCCAGCTTCCCAAAGCGAAGCGCTCGGTGCCATCAGGGTGGCGGAGCAGTTAAAAGCTGGGGCTGGGAGCCAGGCCATCAGGCTGCTGCTCCCCGCTGCGTTTGAGCAAGCCTTGGATCCCTCCAGTTCTGCCCAGGGGATATCCCAGGAGGGAATGGCTGCTGTCCCAGCCGTGCTGTTAGCAGTGCTATTTATACGACTGCGTTTTAGGATTTTACTGAGAGCCTTCTAAAGGGAAGGCAGGGTTCAGCTGCAGTTAAGGGGCAGCTATTCAGAAGGGATTGCAGCCAGTGCCAAGAAGTGCTTAATGGAAGTGGCCTTAGCAAAAGGGATGAGGGAAGGAGGTTAGGAAGAGTGACTCCTACGTGCTCTCACGTAGGTCCCTCGGCTTAGCAGAGCCACGAGCTGCTGCCTTTGCAAGCAGGAAAAGCAGCCAGCGAGGCTGCTTTCTCATTGGGCAGTGCTCTGAGGGTGATGCTGGCTCAATAAGGAGAGTAACAGCTCCGCTCTCAGCTGTTCCTCAGCTTGGTTCCCGAGAAATCCTCTGCAAGAGGATGGTGGTACTTGTTAGACCTGCACCATGTGCCCCAGAGCAGGGCACGTGATGGCTCTGACGGCTCGCTTCTCTTTCTGATATGTGATTTTTGGAATTAACGTGCTCTTTATGGAAAGGCCATTGGAGGGGCCTCTGCATCTTACCTGTATCTTCAAGTGAAACCTGAAAGCTGGTCAGTTTGGGTAAAGGTTTATTTTTAAGCTATTTAAGTCTTAGTGAAAGCTGGATAGACCTTTATTACAGCGTAAAGCAAGTTTTGTTCCTGTACATAGAGCACATCCCTCAAACAGCGTGCTGTATGTTCCACTTAGATGCGAGGCTTTAAATCACTTCTTTTAAATCAATACCAACATTTTATGGATGCTGTTGTTTTGGTTTAGGTTCACAGTAGACCACATGCTCTCTGAACAGTGCTTGGCTTTTTGCTATGGAATTTCTGGGTGACGTTCATAAGAAGGTGCTTTAGCAAGACAAAATACTTCTGATACTAAAGATATTGAGAAATATTTGATGTTTTTACCCAGCGATGCAGATTAAGTTACAGAGCAAGGCCCCCTGTCATGTCTTTTCAGAATGGAGCTGAATCAAAATGAAGGCTGAGCAAGGCAAAGCGAAACTGCCTGAGCAGAGATATTAATATTACTTTGCATTTTACAGACTGCTTCTTTTGGGGAGTCAATGGAGTGAAAAGAGCCTTAAGGTTGGTGTAAGTGATAATTTGTTGAGCAAGGCACAGTCACGGAGGGCTGCTGTCTGTTGAATAACATGAAATTAATATTTTGACAAGAATAACTAGGAGGAGGAGAGGAGGAAGGATGGCAGAAAAGGAAGATAGGAAATAAGAACTAAGCTGTTTAAGGAACTGAGAATGAAGAAGAAAGGAGAAAAAAAAATCTTCCTAGAGGAGGAGGAGCTGGAAGACAGAAAATCTGTGTTGCAAATTTGGGACAGGATTTAGTTCAACAAAGTGGAATTTGGGAAGATTAGAGCTGAGGTTGCAGTAGCCAAGGAAGGACTTACCTAAAGCACGGCATGGTATTTCTAAATGCTAGCAATGAGTCTGTATAAATAAAGCAGCTGAAATGTTCCCTGTGGGCTAGAGCTGTGCCCTCGTAGTAGGTCTGCATTCTTGTGGGTTTACTTGTTAAATTACGTGGCCCTGTAATTAGACCCTCTTTTTGAAGGATACATGTCGTGGCGTTGGTCGCAGAGGTAGGCATTATCTTTAGCCATTTTCCCCTTTTAGACTGCAAGAAATGTGTAATTGCAGGCTCGAGCCAGGACGTTTTCTTCCCTAAAGTCTCCTTTGCCCCCGAAATCCGTGGTTAGTGAGTCAGTCCTGGTGTTCCTGCAGATGGTGCGGACTCTGCAGGCACGGAGGCTCCCAGCAGCTCTGCCTGTGCGGGAAGGGCAGCTTCCCGAGCGAGGAAAGCACTGCCAGAAGGACAGCCCTGGGGCTTTGTCACTGTTATTTCACAAAAATAGAGCACTGATATTTTTTTTCTTTCTTTCCCCCCTAGAAGCAGCAAGTTCTGAAGCAGAATATGCTGTGGACAGCAGTTGTTTTATGCAGAAATAGCTACAGTGCGGCAGGCTGTGGTGAGTTAGGCTGATGTTTTCAGCTGTAGGGATTGCTTGGTGACATGGAGGGTTGCCTGGGGTCATTCGCAGTAGCTTCTTCCAGATGCGCACATCAGAACGAGGATCCCACCTCATACCAAACTGAAGCTGTTACCAGAAATTGCCCTTTACCAGAAAGCAAAATTTACCAGAATTTAAAAGTAGTAACGTCCAAATACAGGCAGCCCGGTCTGCCTGTACCTCCCCTGGCAGCAGTCACAGCTGTCGGTGACGTTGTGCTGCACACCCGGACCATCCCAGCTGGAAGACAGGCCAGGTCAGCACCTTTGAAGCACCTAGTGCTTGACAGACAGCAAGACCCAGTTTTTGCCCTCAGAAAAATTAAGGGTTGCCATGTCCTTGTTTACTAATGCATTCATGTTTGTAGGCCAAATACCCTCCCAATCCCTCTTCCGTGGAGCTCGTGTCCTAATTTAAAGAACTATGGCCTTTTCCCAAAGCCCTCTTTGAAAAGTTTCCTCCCCATTCTTCAACCCGGATGGCCAAAGCTGTCTGGACTCGCTCTTTAGAGAGTCTTTGCTGATAATCCCTCTTGCTCTACACCTCCTGTTGTCCTCTGTGACCAGCAAAGAGCTGATTCTCCTCAAAAATCCCTCCTGTCTGCACGACTTTCAGGTCCAGATTTTTTTTTTTTCGTCCTTAATCTTTGCTCCCAGTCAAGCTGGCTGCTTGTTTCCTTTCTCTGCTGGGTCTTTCAATGCGACTCCTAGAACAATCGTGTTGTGCTTCACTCTTTATTATTTTGCCAACATAAAAATTACTAAAAAATACTTTATAAAATATGCCTTGAAAAATCTAACATTACACAAGACCCTAGAGTTTCTCAAGAAAAGGACTAGAGATAGGGATGCAAAGGAGTTCCTCTTACTGGAGACCTTCCCACAACAGATCCCGCTAGCCAAGGAGTAGGAGAGGGGAATATTTGGAAAGAGCCTGTGCCTGGAAGTATCTGTGACTCATCCCCAGGAAAACAACTGGCTATTGGTCCAGTTCATTCAAAGATCATTTTCTATGTGGGTCCGAAGAGACACGATTTTCAGAGGAACACTCTGAGGAAGGCAGCATGTTCGCAGGAAGCGTGGAGGGAAGGGCAATATTAATATCTCTGGCTGTTGTCCAAGCTGCCAGATGCTAATGAAGATTCCAGGCTATGGAAGGCTCTAAAAGAGTCTAATAAGGATGTTAAAAGAATCTAATAATGTTACTAATAGGAGCCTGGGGACAAGGGAGCCTCCCTTCAGGACTGAGAGCCCTGGAAGGGAAATCCAGGCACGCTTTTCAAGGTCAGCAGAGGGAACCCAGCTAGGAGAAGCTTGTCAAGGCTGGAATGGGATATCCCGGAATTGGTCTTTAGGGATCTGTAAGGGAAACAGCCAGACCTTCCATGGCCTTAAAGGGAGGTCTACAGCAATAGGACACCTCTTTAGCTGGTCCAAAGGGCCGGGTGGGCAGCAGTCCCGGAACTCCTAGGCTCTGCTCCTCTCTTATTTGGGCATAGGATACTCAGTGACATCTGTGGCATTGTGCGAGTCCTGTGGCTCTTTCATCTGGGGAGCAGCACTGGGGTTAGGGTTCTGGATGCTGCCTATAAAAAGTGGGATGCCTGTTTCTTCATCAAAGATAATGAAGAGAAAGGGTCGGTCAAGGCTGAAGGCAGAGAGTGACCGTGACAACATGATGCTGGTCGCAGCCGATGCTTCCACCCCGTCTTCTTTAAGCTCCAGTGCGGACTGGTGCTGTATGCTGGATACAAAGAGAGGTTCCTCTGTGATCTTCTGGAGATCTGGGTTTGTGAACAACTCCTGGAGGCCTATGGAGAAACCAGGCAAAGTTAACCCTTCTCTTTGGGTGCCACAGCTCCTCCTCAAAGCTACCCCGAGGAAGCAATTCCCTAACCCGTTGCTACATGTGTTGTCCAGCCCTGGGGACTGGAGAACGTGCAGACAACAGAAATAAAAGCTGAAGTGTAGCCAAGTTCTCCAGCATCTCACTGCATGAAACCTCAGAGTGCCTTGGCTAGAAATAAAATGGAGAGTCAATGAACTAGGGCAAGAGAAAACTCAGAGATCACGAGGACCTGTGAATGCTTTCTGCAATGGACCATCATGTTGGAGCAAAACTTTTGGTGCTAGGTAAGCAAAGAGGAAGGAGGACAGGAATATGACACGAAAGGTTCTGGATGCTGTGTGGAACAAGCTGTGACATAAAGCTCTAAAAACAAGGATCACAGTTCTGAGTGTTAGTGAACAGATGATCTATATATATATTGATCAGGTCCTCTTATTCTGCCCAGGTCTCTTACCCATTTGGCTGAGAACCTTGTTGAGTTCCAGATGATAGTCCACCTTTAATTTGGGTATCTTCACTGTGGTGGGTATCTCCTTGGGGAAGAGGCTGCGTAGTCGTTCATAAGGGAAGTTCTCCAGCACATGAGAAACATTCCAAGTAAACTGGTTTGGTACAATGGCTAGGAAACTCATGTTACCCTTGAAGGGAAACTTGGCCACCTGGAAATAAAACCAACCAGAATAATTTATAGAAGAGGCAGGACAGAGTCCAAAAAGTGATGCTATTTTTTTTTCTAATTTGATTACAGCTAGTGTAGCCATAGGAGGAAAACAATCTGGTCGGAAGGAGATGTCTGATTGCTCCAGGGGGAGAAATTTTTGCTGAAATTGCAGCATCCGATTTTGGTATTTAGTATCATGAAACACATAGGGAAAAAAAGTGTGTACAGACATTGCACCTACTCTTTCACTAGCCATCTTCTGAAGGAAAATCAATTGCACATTGTTTGGGGAAATTAGCTTTCCATATTCCTCATTTACCCTTAATTAAACTTTAAAACTCCATGATTTTCCCACTTAAATCATATCCTTTCTTGATTTTCACAAAGCTGAGAGCAAAGATTTAACTTTCTTGCTAAAAACAAGGATAAAGAATGCTTATTAACTACTTATATGTTGTATCCCTGTGCAATTTCATTTGGTTTGAGGAGAGTATAGTTGTACTTGGTGAAAGGAAATATCAAGAGGAACGTTCCTAACAGAGCCTTACCTGAATGTCCAAGGACTCCAGTGTAAACCAGCTCAAGGAGTATTTCTGGGCTTTCATCATCTCAACTGGGACCATGAAATTGTTATCAAGGTGGAATATGTCTGGCCCAGTGAGGCTAGCATCAAACTTATTCCTCCAAAATCCTGCCAACAGAAAAGTGGAAAATACAACAAAGTTAAATTCCGACTGGAAGGCAGAAACTGCCTAGACAACACTGCTCTTATCATGAGTTCTCAGAGAAGGCAGATAGTGATGAGACAAGTAGGAATTACAGCAAAGAGAAGTTAGTACCAAAGCTGGAAAAAAACCCTAATGGCAGGAAGCTCTTATCTTCTGGAGAGGGACTATGGAAATAACAAAGTGAACCAGGATTAATCCTCATGCTTTAGCGTGGGAGATTACCGAAGGCTGTGAAGATAAAGTAATGGATGTTTGTGAAGTGCTTTGAAAAATGAGGAGTGTTGCCTTTGTGCTAAGCACTGTGAAATAGCGCTCCAAGAGCAAGCAAAACGTTGGCAGATTTACCCAGGAATTAAGTCTCTGTGAGTACGGGGCAAAAATGCTTCCGGACGCACCTGCTACGTTCTGCCTCTGCTGCCAAGCAGCGTTTTTAGCACAGGTGAAACAGCTGGGAATCATGGCTGTAAAGAAGGCCAAGCAAGAGGAAGGGTAGATGTGGAGGGAAAGAACAAGCAGATTGTCGGAGGACATCACTCAGCTTGGGTGCCTGTGCAAAGCTAACCCATTTCTAACTATTCCTTGACATGGTCAGGCTTGAAACGTTAAGTCCTGCAGCGCTCACCATGGAAGTGGATAGCACTGAGCAGGAGCATCACTGTGTCCGCAGGGAGCTGGCGTAGGAAGGTGGGTATTTGCCCATGAGTTGCCCCCTCTACCCACTTGTTTATGGCCACAAGGTCATGCTCGCTGTTCCCAGAGAGGGTCACCGGCTTGGCCCCGTAGAATTTCTCCGAATCCTCCAGGAACTTCTCTTTAACCTCCAATCCTGGTAAAAGGGGGAAGAATCCCATGGGAAGTTAGCAATCCTTGAGGAGGAAAAACCCCAAAGGTTCAGGGCCGGAGAAGCACGGACGGGGCACGAAGGTGCCCGCTCACCTTTGCGCAGGTAGAGGCGCGCGGCCAGGGAGCCCGGCAGGCTCGCGCGCGCGCCGCTCAGCGCCTGGTGCACGCAGGGCACCGCCGCCACGCGCATGGCCTCCAGCACACGCTGCTCCGTGCCGCTCGCCGCTCCTGCAAAGCCGAGGCGTTCACGTTAAGCCACGCAAAGCCAGGGCTGTTGGGCTGGCTGCCTCGCCTAAGAAACACCCAGTGCCCCTTACAAAAGAGGCCGGAGAAATCTGAGAAGGGGAGCCTCAACACAGGGCGCTGAGAGCAGCTGCAACTGTAACAGAGCCCAATTAAAGCTGCAGGAGTAAAATTAAGGGGAAGGTGCTGCATTTAATCCCTGCACTCCTCACATTAACTCCTAGGACCTCCAGGAGAGGAACAGAAGCAGGAGCTGCTGCTTTCGTTGCTAATACATTACCTAGTGCCAGGTGAGACAAGGCGAGGGTGATGCTGAGGGGAGACAGGATCACGTTGTCGCCACTGGACTCCAGCTGGACCTCTCTGAGGAGATCAAAGCTGAATTTCATCAACCCTTTTGCTAGCCTGTGGCTTTTCTTCCGGGCTTTGTCACAGGTTTGATCTTCACCCTCATCTTCCTCTTCAGAAGAGCTAACTTGCCCCGGGCTTGGGTCTCTGCTGCTGCCCGGCGTTGGGGTTGGGATGGGGAGCGGCGATGTGGGTCCGTGGATCTCCTCCCAGGTGTCGGCGGTCGAATCCCCCACGTCGGTGTGCAGCGGGGTTGGAGCAGCTTCAGGCAGAGCACCGGGGGGATCTGCCGTGCTGGTCTCCAGCTGAGCGGCACCAGCCCCTTTCAGGTCCTGGGAAGGAACAAGGACAGCTTGGAGCAGGCAGGAGGACAGCGCAGGCTTCCCCAAAGCTTGCACTGAAATCGCAGGCAGCTTGCACGGGCAGCTGAACAAAGGTGGGTTTTCTTATTCCCCTCGCACTGCTAAGTTGCACTGCCTGGGCTCGTCCTAGCTCAGGACAGAATGGAAAACCACTGCCAAATCCCAGCCTAACTGCAGCCCCTGCATGGGAACCAGCCCTCGCTTACCTTGAACTCCACGGCTTTGTCTAAGGAGAGATGCTTCTGCTCAAGGGCATGTGCCAAAGGAAGCTGGAAGGAAAAAGAGAAAGTCCCAGGTAGTTTCTTCTGAATTTCCGTAAGTTGGTTCTCTTTTCCGCACTCCTAACACATTTCTGTGGATGCAGACATGGGTACCACCACAGATGGAGCGATAACAAGAGCGTGGACAGGGATTTAGGATGGAGTGAGGGGGCAGCGGCTTCCCCTGAGGGGAGGCAGAAATAATCAGGAGCCTGCAGATGTATTTGTTTAAACAGAGGCCGTGTCAGAAGTCTACGAAGTAATGTGTCCCCTAGAGAGCCAGAGGGGCAGCTTTGCCATGTGCGAGTTGAAAGGGATCCAGATACAAAAAAGGGGAAAAAAAAGTTGTCATTAAACCATGCCCTATTAATCCCTGAAGGTCATCAATGGAGCCAAGTTTCCAGAAGTCCCTGTGAATAATGGGAATGCTCCCGGTTATTTTTAGATGGGGAATGAAAGCATCGGAGCCTTGCTGCCCCGGGGCAGCGGGCCGGGACTTACCCGCAGGTGGCTGTGCAGAGCGGGCAGGCAGAGCAGCAGCAGAGCCCCCAGCAGCACCATGTTCGTGGGACACCAGGAGCGACACGGAGAGAGGAGCGGCTCCCGCTGCCGGAGCCTCTGGGGGCTGCGGGGAGAAAAGGATCAGCCCGGCCAGACCGGTTGGCGCTTGGAGAGGGGAGGACGGAGGGGAACAATGATGCCAAGGAACAGCACGAGGCGGCAGCGGCAGCCAGTGAAACCGGAGAGGAGCCGTGGCTGGTGCCGGGACGGGGCTGCGTCCACAGCCCGGCTCCTACGCCAAGCGCGCCTGGATTCACTCTGCTCACAAACCCGCCTTGCTGACCCCGTCGTCCACGTCCGTGCGGATTGCAAAGGCCGTTCCCCTTATCCTTAGCATTCCCTGTCTCCTGGATAAGGCAGGAGCCTCCGCTCTGTTCCCGCGCAGCCCCCTGAGGAAGGGGCAGCCCTGCTAGAGGTGGGAGAAGCAGCGGCCGTCCTGGCGATGCCGCGAGACGAGGGATACGGACCTGTCTCGAGGGGCTGCAGGCACCAGGCAGCGCCGTCCGCGAGCGGCTGCGCAGGTGGGCGATGCCAGGGCCGAATTCCCCAGCGGGGAGTCCAGGAATACGGAGCGTCCTCCCCTTCCCAGCACTCCGCAGCTGCCCCCCGTGCTCGGAAACCCAGTGTCTTCCCGTGAGCTGTGTTCTGGGAATGACCCATTTTCCAGGTGAAACCCCACCCCCTTCCTGGGCACGGCTTCAGCCAGCTGCTTTTCCTGGTGAAGCAGAAATGACATTATCTATTTTCTTCTTAATGTGAACCCTCTGTGCCAAATCCCAACGCCAGGCCTCGGGGTGGCTTCCATAGCGCTCCATTCCTGGAGCTGCTCTCGGAGCACTCCTTGCTCTGACCAGCTTTGCCCTTTGCTCAGCACCCCGTGGGGTTCCCGAAGTTTGAAGCCCCTTCCTTCCCGCTCCTCCCTCACCCTAAACCCTGCAGCTACAAACAAGCCCGAATGCCCCTTTCCTCCCCAGCCTTTAACTCAGCCGGATTCACCCCCTCGCAGAGGCTCCTGCTTGCTCCCCGCAGGAGCCCCGGTTTGCCCCCATCCCAGCACGTTGCCCATTACCGCAGCGTGTCCCCGAGCTGGGAGCCGCGTCAGCGCGGCCGGCCGCTCTGCACGGAGCCGCCTCTGGTCCAGCCCTGCTGCCGCCGGCCGCGACCTTCGGCACCACCCCTTGTTTGAGAATTTGGGAGCAAATATTGACTCAGAGCATCCGGCTAAACATTTGTTGGGGGGGCGGTTGAGTGAATTTGTGGGGTGTGTGGAGATGGGGAGACGGTTTAGGCTGCTGCACCCCGTGGACAAGGGTGACGCTGAAGGGACAAGCTCTGAAATGCCCAAGAGCAGAAACAACCCGTGAACTCCGCGGTGCCCGAGCAGCAGCTCTGCTTTCCTTATGCTGTGATAGGAATGCCCTCTTTTACTGCAGCCTCCAACGAAAACACATGGCTTGGCACGCGTTGCCGCAGGGGAAGATTCTTTGCAGACTCGGGAGCCTTGCTGTTTATCCCCCAGCTGCAGCGAACACAGGTTTCAACAGCCAGATGCCCAATGATGAGGGCATCTATCGAGAGCGGCTGGTGCCACCCCGAGCACCAGAGCCTTGCTGGGGGGCTGGCCCTGTTGCCGGCCCCTCAACGCCCCCGGATCCAGGATGGAAGATGTGGATCCAGGAGCCGCAGAGCTCGGTGCCGACTCCGTGCAGCCCTGCGCCTCGTGCAGAGGTGAGAGCCACGCTCCCCGGCCTGGGATGCGCCCTTGCCACCTCCTCAGCATGACAGCAGCCTCCAGGAAGCAGCGGAGGATGTTAACAGGGTTGCAAGCTTCCTTACTAAAGCATCCAGGTCACACAGACTTCCTTAGGAACGTTCTTAGTTCCCAAACTCCCTACAAGAACTGGGAAGAACGGGAGAAGAGACAGGGCTGAGGTCTGTGGCCATAAACTACTTAGGAACATGCCACGTGGGGAAGTGCCATGTCCCTGTTTAGGAGAGTCCTACCTTCCTACATCCAGAGCATCTCCTCCGCATCCCCCCTGCAGCATTCCCGGGAACATGGAGCCAGGAGAGGCACCGCCAGCCTGCTGTGCTGCCCTGCTCCGCGCTCGGGCCCTTCCCACCCAGCACAGAGCCTCCCCACACACACTTCTCTGCATCTCTTCCAAAGAGTTTATTAGAAGTAAATATTTACATCTATTGCGAATGGTTAATAGGCAACAGGGGCCTGGGAGCTCCCTTGGAAGGGAAGGACAGCGAGGGCCAAGCGCTCTGCTCACCAGCCTCCCCGGAGCAGAGAGCAGCCTTCCCTCCGCAGATGGACCAGCAGCTCCAGGAGGCCCTTTCCCCACCCCGGACAAGCGCAGGCTCCTTCCTCTGCCAGGGACAGAGGATTCCCGGGCTCCGGACACTGAACCAGGCTGGAGGATGGATGGGAAGGAGGCTGCAGCACACGGGAGGTGACTGCTCCTGCTGCTGGAGCAAGGATGAGAGCAGGGGAGAGACAGGCGCATCCCAGTGGAGAAGGTGAGGAAAGGGAGACCGTGCTGGATCGTGCCCCAGGGTTTTCACTTCTACAGGCAGTTTGGGGGCAGAATTGAGCACCTTTTTGCTCTCCTGTCCTGCTGCTTCGCTACCAAGTCTCCTCAGCTCAAAGAGGAGCAGAGGGGATCCCAAAGTGGGGCCTTGTTGCGGCGCACAGAGCACCCCCCAGCGCATCGATACGCAGAACCAATGAATGCAATTAATCCCTATCTCACAGCTCCAGGAGCCAACATCCTCATGGAAGTATCTAGTTTTATCATCCCTAGAGAGTCATGTTCCCATCCCAAACTGTCCTTCCACAGCAGTTCACCCCCAAACAAACCAGTGCAGCAGACAGGGTTCGTGCCTTGGCTGTCCTCCCTTCCTGTCTTTGCCCTGCAACCAGTAAGGTGACGACAAGTGCTTTAATGAACCTCTGCTCCTCCAGTACTGGATCTAACCAGGGCTGCAGAAGCTCAAGTTAATACAGGAACTGTATTAATCCTGGGCCTTGAACCCAGCAACCACACCAGGAGGAGATGCCCAGCACCACGCAGCTCCAAAGGTGGCTCCTAGGCCCATGTTAAGCTATTCTAACAAGACTGTTCAGTGGTTCGGGAGTGGCAAGTGAAGGATAAGTGCATATGGTACTAGCTCTATCATTGTGTTCTTATCAGGGCTACCCCTTTCCCCTTACTGGTGGAGGAGGAGGGATATCCATGGTCCATATTTCTCCAGAGAGCAGCTCACAGTCCCCTGAGGAGTCAGGCACACGTGGTATGGAAAGCTCCAGACCTCTCTGCAGGGGTCACAGTGACCTACAACGCCCAACGTTTCTCCCAGCAGCAGCAGAGGTTCCTTAACTATGGCTTTTTTGTGGTTTTTTTTTTTTTTTTTCTTTTAGAAAAGATAGGGAAAGAGGTTAGAGATGCTCTACGGAGCGCTCACTGCCGAGTACCCCCCCGTCTGCACCGGGGACCGCCTGCCGCGTCCGCGCGCGAAGCGGCCACCTCGCAGCCGCCACCGCGGCTGCCCCGAGCCCCTAGGCCAGGAGGCGAATGACGCCGTTGTCAGAGCCCAGCAGGAGGTGGCATTTGGTGGGCAGCACCGCCAGGCTGGTGAGGGTGCCGCGGAAGTTCTCCGAGCTCAGCTTGGTGGTGCTGACGGGCAGGGCTGACGACTGCAGCATGGAGTAGACGCCGATCTTGTTGGCCACGGTGCCGGTCACCACTTCGTTGCCGTAGAGGTCGAACGCGTGGATGGGTTCAGAGGCAGATTTGTAGTGGTGCAAAGGCTTCTGCTCCAGTTCCTTCCAGACAGTCAAGGAATGATCCGAGGAGGAGCTGATCAGCACGTTGCCCTCTGCAGCCTGCAGGAGAGGAAGGGCCGGTGAGCCAACATTGCTGCAGTAAAAACTGCAAATGAGATTAGCAAGAAGCAGCCAGCAGTCCCAGTGTAATCCACAGACAGTGCCAGCCATTTGCAAGCAGCTGGGCAGGATTAAGAAAGCATCTAGGTAAACACTGTTGGCCATGGGGCTCCCTGGTAGCTCCATCCTCCTCCGCCACTGTCCAAGAGAAGGGCTGTGTCTCTTCTCAGCAGCATCCTGGTTCACAACATCATTAATTCATCAGCTGCTACTACTGCGGTGGGTAAAGAGATAGTCACATGGCCTCCCTCTTCATTAAACCACCCGCCAAATTATCTTCCTTCTCACGGCCATGGAATTGGGGTCCCCTTTCACAGTTGGAAACACTCTGCTGAGGGCAGCAGAGGGCTAAAGCTGCCAATTAGCAGAGCTAGTGAGAGGGTAAACAACCCGCAGCAGTGAACTTTGTTTAACCCACACTGGGTCGAGGACACTGCCGTCCCAGTGATGCTCCCTGAGGGCGGGTAAATATGGACAAGAGTTACTCATTAGAGCGAGGCTCTGCAAGGGCCGGTGGCAGCGCTGAGGAGAAAGCTCCACGTTTGCGTCTTCGCAGGATGCAGGGCTCGTCCCTTGGCCCGGCTGCAGGGCACGCAGACCTGCTCAGCAGGGCCTGAAGCCTGAGAGTGCTGCTCAGGTTGGACCAAGAACAGCCATGCACAGCAGTAACCAAAGGGCTGGAGGGCCTAGGTGGCTTCTTAGCCACACAGCAAGGGGTGGCAGAAAGCCCGAGGATGGAGCAGACAAGCCCTGCCAAGCAGCAGGTTTTGCAAGGAGGCAGCACAGCTCCGTGCCCTGGTGAGTGCCAGGAAGCAGCGCCCAAGCCTGACGCCTTGCACTCAAACTGCTGTTACCGTCAGCGGCGCGAGCCTGACCCCAGCTGAACCCCTTACCTTGATCTGCAGGATGTCCCCCTCGTGGGCAGGCCAGCCGCGCATGATGAGGCCCGTCCTGGTGTCCAGCAGCACGAGGAACCCCGAGGAGAAGCCGGCCACGACGCTGCGCCCGTTAGGACTGACGGCCAAGCAGCGGATGAGCCCGGCACTCACACCGCTGGCCAGGCGAAACTCGTGCTGCAAGACAGAGCCCAGCTACTGCGGGACAAAGGGACTAAGGGCTCCAGCAGTGAGGGGACAATAAAACCTGTGTCCCAGGTGGCATTTGTGGGGCCAGCACTCCTGCACACGGATGCCGTGGGGCAGCCTGAAGGAGGGTGGCTCACAGGGTCCTTACCTGCAGGCCTGGTTTCCTGTGATCAATGAACCGCAGCACAGAGTCTGCGCTGGCCACCGAGATGCTGTGGTAGGGAGGTGGCATCGTGCTCACAGCTGTGATGGGGACTTTGCTGTCTAACTCATCAAAAGTCCGGAGAAGTTTCCCTGTGAAAAATGGTGAGGTTACAGCAGTGGACACATGCAGAAAGCACACAGCAAATCTCTAGTCTCTATTCTGCTTTTTAGCAAGAGCCACCAGGACTCACTATGGACCTTCAGCCTCTAAAGAGGCCAGGGCTGACACTCATCTGGCCATCACCCTTTCCCTTTTTACCTGTGAACTGGTCCCAGATGTGCACGGTCCCATCACAGCTCACCACGTGCTGCGATGCCTCCAGCTGGCTCACATAGAAAACAGACTTCTTGTGCTCGGAGTACGTGAACCGTGGCGGCACCTCGCTCGTGCCGTCCCCATAGTTGTACAGGGGCCAGAGGCGGACAGTTTTGTCCTTGCTGCCACTGAGAAAGAAGTCCTCGCTGCTGAGCGGTGCCACACACTTGATGGCCCCGGAATGCCCTGAGAAGCTCTGTAGCTTGATCTGGTGGAAGTGGAAGCGGGGGTCGTGTTGGCTCACCCCGATCTCATACTGCCAGTAGGCCAGCCAGTTGCCACACAGCATGTGGGTGCTGCGAGGCAGGTCCTGCTTCAGGGTATTTTCTTCGCTGGATGAGCTAGGAATGAAGCCATCGGTGACAGCACTGAGACGAAGCAGGCCAAGACCCTCGCGCTGTGTGTCCACAGGAACCTGGATGCGATTCCCTACCAGGACGCTCCCAAAAGTACCGGAGTGAGTGTCCTCGTGGTAGCTGGAGAATGGCTCGGCCTTGCGCATATCCTGCTCTGAGCTGGCCACGCTCTGTGTTTGCTCCAGGTTAACCACCTGCAAGCTCTTGGGGTTCACGTTCTCCTGGTAGAGGCTGGCCAGCTTCTCAACCAGCGAGTGGTTGGGGACAACCACCCTGATAACATCGCCTGAAAAGAGACAACATAGCTCCAAGAGAAGGAATTTTCCCCCCTTCCTTCCCTACCATCACGGGGCTGTGAGCATGATGCTCCCCCGACTGCCACACGGTTCCCAGCCAAACCACCCTGAAGTCCCAGTGGGCTCCTGGACCTAGCAAGCAGGCTGAGCCACAGCGGAGAAGCTGCAGACTTCACCCAGCAGAGTGGTCCTGTGAGCCCATCCCGGTGTGTTCCATGTGTGCATGGAGCTCTCAGCAAGCTCAGGAAGGGGAAGCAGCCGTACCCAGCAAGCAGGAGAAGGGGATGTAGGTGATGTAGGCCATCTCGGGACTAAACACCTTCTGCAGCTCCATGAGCACTGCTGGATCCAGGGCCAGCAGCTGCCCGTTCGAAAGAGGCACCTCCATCATAGGTACCTCACAGCTGCTCAGCGACTCTGCCGTCAATCCCTAGGGAAAACAGGGAGATTCCCAAGATCAGGCACTCGCACCGTGTCGGGGGTTACCAAACGCAGCCTGGGCTGCACATGGCCAGTAGTGGCAGCTGAGCCCACCACATTGCTGGGGTTGGGCAACGAGGGCGTCTCGCACGGCACTGACCTGCTCCTGCAGCTCCTGCAGCAGTGAGAAGGCCCCAAAGAAGTTTCTGACAGTGTCACTCAGATGCTGTTGCACCATCTCCTGCCCAATCCGCAGGCAGATCAAGGCAATTAGACTGATTGTCTTAACACACAGGACAATACGGGCCTGGGCACCACTGGGGAAACTGAAGAGGACATCTGTTACCATTGCCCCCCACGGAGCCCCATTCCCTCTACCTGATGCTTCCTGCCCTCTGTGTGTTTGCAGTAAGGAGCCAGAGAGGCAGCATTTTCAGCAGGTCTTGCCTGGTTCAAGCTCTACATACGTGCACCAGCACAAGGATGTGCCCGTCAGGGTAGAAAAGCTCCAGAATCCTCGGATGGCCCCTCACAGAATTGTTCCCAGCAGAAATCCTCACCGATCCATTCCCAAATCCCAGATTTGGAGCCCATTCTGGCTGCAGACACCCCGCGCAGCCAAGGGCGGCACTCACCCCACAGTGGGCGAAGTGAGGGAGCCCAGCACGGGCAGCAGCACCTCCTGGCTGATCTTGGGCAGAATGTCCATGAGCGTCGTGTCCGAGAGGCAAACCACGATCCTCTGGGTGAGCGTGACGGCCGCCAGGAGCCCGGCCTCCTTCCGACTGTTGAGGCGGCCGCCGCCGGAGCTGCCGCTCGGAGCCACCTGTACAGGGAGATCCCTCAGTGCCAGGGCCCTCTCCGTGCTCCGGACACTGTCTCCCCTGCCGGACACATCCAGGGGGGATCCTGGCATCATCGGAGCACCAAACCGGGCACAGTTGTGTGTGCCCGGGAGGGGGACCCTGAGCACAGAGGCAGCAGCAAAGCTCATCCCTCTTTGGGATGAGCCCAAAGACGAGGGCTGCCAGGAATGTGTTGATGGGAGAGAGGAGCTTGGGAGTGAACAGGGCACAACGTGCCCAAACTCCCATGCATCCTCCGGAGAGCGCCTGCCTGCTCCCACTGTTGGGAATTTCAAGGCGAAGCAGATCCCAAAGGATCACCTGCTTCTACTCAGAGACCACAAACCATCATCTGCCAGCACAGCAGGAGGGCAACACTGGTACCCCCAAGCAACTTGCACCACAAACCAGTGTTTCCATGTTGGGATGCACAGACGGTGGAATAATCCGCATGGAATTTCCAAGGCACAAGATAGGGGCAAACTTGCTGATTTCTAGAAATCCAACTGCTGATAACATCACAAGGAGTTCAGTTTTTGCTGACACGGGACCAATGCTGGTGACAGAAAGCCCAAACAGCTAGCAACGCCAGCAGCAACACAGCAGAAATGGTATCTATCTTTCTAGATTGTCCTTTCTCCCAGCTAATGCTCCTAGGCAAGCCAAACACCAAAGAAGAGAGAGCCAGTAACAAAAACAGCAAACAAGTCCCAGTTTCCGCTATATTTCTTGTACACTCGCCATCTTCCAGCTCATCACAGCTCACAAAATACCCACTCTGCCAAATGCTGCAAGAATGACTGACTTCTTGTCATCCTTTTTGTGATCCCCAAGTTTTGCTGCTTTCATATCAGGTTGCTAGATGCTGTTCATAGGAATATTAATCCTCCCTCCTTGCCCCTGTGCAATAATTTGAGGAAAAAAAAATAGAGAAAAACAGAACAGCTGGAGCTATGATTGCAACTGGGTGGAGAATGATTTTGCTGAAAAATGGGATTTTTTCCCCTGAAAAATCTTCCCTTCAACACTGGAAAAACTGACAATGTTTTTTTCTTCCTTTAAATGAATAGCCCTGGCCTCTTTGCCTCCAAGTTTACATTATCAAAAAGCTATTAAAGTTTTCCATTTAAACAAGAACCAGTAACCAAAATGTTAATAACCACTGAAAAAAATGTAGCATGAAAAATAAGCCTGTTTAAAACATTTTTTGATGAAAATAGATTTGTTTTTTTACCAGCTGTATTACACATTTCCTTCTTGCTATTCAGCGAAGAATTTTAAGATGAAAAGTCTGCAAGTCCTGCCAGTTTGTTGTTTTTTTTTTAATTCAGCTGAAAAACCTCCTTTAACCTCTCCCAAGCTGTCCCCTATCTACCTACACAGACCTCTCAAAAGCCTGGCTCCAGCAATCCCACAGCAGCCAAGCTGCCCTGGCTGCTATTATCACAATCCCACCTTGATGCCAGCCCTGTTTTGGCCAAGCAAAAGAGGAGAATATTTTCATGGGCGTTGTAGACACCAGCAAAAGGTCTCACAAGGAAAGCCTGTTGCTGGAAGGGGGACAGAGGCCTGGTGGCAACCAGTGGTGAGATGCAGATGCCCGGCAGCTTTGCTAGCCAGCAAAGGCCACGTTTGCAGCCGTGGATGTTGCTGGAAGCATCAGGAGCTTGTGGCCGGAGCTGAAAGTGCCTCTTCTGGCTGCATCAATGCAGTTCTTCTTGGCCAATGCTCCGGCACCCTCCAACAGCAAGAGCTGCTCAGCTCACATTGGCCCAGGAAGAGTTCAACCGAGCACCAGCTTTTATACAGGATGCCCCCAAGGAGCCTGGCCCCCGTTTTCTGTGCATCCTCTTGCCTCCTTGTATGCCCACAGCTCTGCCCTGGATGCAGCTCCCTTGGCACCACGCACAAGAGGAGGATAAAGCCATACTAACCAGGTAGCTGATGTAGGGCAGGTACTGGTAGGTGAGGACAGGCTCTCCGTACAGGTAAGCCACGTGCACTAGACAGGCCAGCACTGGCCTGGACACCTGATCTCCCAGCACTGGCCGCTTTTGGTAGATATTCCCTGCGCTCAGGGGCCCGTTCTCATCAGTGCTCGGTACAAACTGCTGCCTGGTGGGGCCTGCAAGAGAAAACACCGGCGGCTGGAGCAGCAGAGAGCACCGAGCCGCGCGGCCCGGGTGCTGCGAGCTCCCCACGGGCGCGGGCCGAGCACAGGGATGGGGAGGCCGCCTTACCCATGTAGCAGGACGTGAGCAGACGGAGCAGGTTCCTGGCGATGAACCGCGACGTTACGGTGGGGCCCAGCTTGGCCGAGAGCCACCGCAGCATCTTACAGGTTGTGTCTGCAAAAGAGGAGCAGTCGCGAGCGCAGGGCCTGGCGCGCTGCAGATTAGCTATCGCCCGCCCGCTCCGCCGGCCGCTCTATCAGCAAACGGGGCAGAGCTGCCCTTCCAGCCGGCACCTCCTGCAGCAACCGCCCTGCAAACATGTCCCCACGCTCCCCACGTGCAGATCTTTTGCACTGGTTTTATTACAGCTCCTGAGCTGGGACTATAGACACCCCTCAATCTGGACCCTCTTCTACGGCACAGCTCTGTCTCTCCCTTTATGCCATGCTCTGCTTTGCTAGGCTCAGCAGGAAGGCTAGAGGCAAGCAGGGCCTTACCCAGGAGTATTGTCTGCTCCTTGTCATCAGAGTGGTCCGGCAGCTCCTCTCCCTCTCCATCCTCTGGCTCGCTGCTGTCATCAGCCAGAGGGACATCCACGGAGGCGGCAGCATCCACGGCCAGAGCCAGCTCTATATCAGCTGCAGCGTCATCGTGCTCCTCTTCCTCCCGCTCATCCCCCTCCTCCTCCTCCGAGTCCTCGCTCTGCTTCAGATCCTGGCTGCTGTCCACGGACTTCAAGCTGCTCTTGTCCTTCTGGGACTCGCCGTCCGCAGGCCTGTCCTCGCCCAGGGACACTTCGCTGGCGCTGCTCTTGTCGCTGAGGCGCCCGAGGCTGAGCGATTCCTGCTCCTGGGGCTGCAGGGACTCCCCCACGTAGAGGCCGCTCTGGAAGTCCTCGCTCTCCGGCAGGTAGCCCTGGTCGTGGAAGCTGACGCCAGACGTGTAGTCGAGGAGGTCGAGCGCCGCCGAGCCCCGATCCACGTCCATCTTGATCTCCTCCCCAAACACGCACGACACGGGACTGTCCCCTCCGCTCTCGTCGTCGTCGGCCGCGCCAAGAAAGGACTTGCTCTCCTCCCGCGAGCTCTCGATGCCAACAAGGATCTGCAGGATGTGGGGCAGCAGGTTGAGGAGGAAGGACTGCAGCCCCAGGCGCACTATTAGCTGGGCGACGAAGCAGTCCGTGTAGAGGTAGAACCTGCCGTGGCGAGAGCAGGCTGTTTCGTAGGCCCCGATCAGGGGCTTCAGCAGGTACTTATTGGCATTTTTAGGACCCAGGGATTTAGCTATGGGTTCAAAGAGGTACCACGCTGCATAGACAGCGGTGTTCTCCTCGGACATCAGGGATAATACGAAAGGCAGAAGAATCTCCAAGCCCTCGGGAGTGATTTCAGCAAGGATACCCTCTAGCTGCTGCCACAGCTGGAAAACGAGTTCCCGGCCCTGACCTTCATCCTCTACCTTCTTTGCCTGGTAGGTGCAAATGAATTTGTGCAGAGCTGGGAAATACGCGGGGAAGGGAATGATGGAGCTGAAGGGGCTGAGGAGCTGCGTGGGACAAGGCGGCGGGAGACCCTGGGAAACAGGGTTGTACTCGAACAAGCCCACGGCGCCTTTGCCCTCCCTGGTTTTCAGAAGCTGCTCCACGGGCACGCTCAGCTGCAGCAGGACTTGCAGCACATGCTGGAGCGGGGCCGGGATCTCCTTGGGGTGGTAGCGGCACAGATTGCGCACCATGAGGAACCGCTCCAACAGGGACGCGTCGGGCTTCGAAGGGCGGATCCTTGGGGCAAATATGATCTCGGCTATCAGGATGCCCAAAGCCTGCATATCCCTTTGGAAGAGGTCCGAGAGACCCAAAGGTTGCTCTTGGCATGGCTGCTCCATCAACTGCATCTCGCTGGTTAGGCCTTTAACCAAGAAATTGTCCAACTTCTCCAGTTCTTCCAGGGCCTGGAGTGGATTGAAGCCTTCGGGAAGGGTGATCTTCAAGCCATCCCTGTCAGCCTGATCCACAGCACCTGCCTTGCTCCGACGGAGAGGTCGGACACCCGAGGTTTTGCCGTCTGTGGCGTACACAGGGAGACTGGAGGGCTGTGCTGCAGGCAAAGCGGCCCCAGGCTGATCAGCAGCTCTGCCAGGAGCAGAAATGGAATCCAGGGCTTCCATGCCCTGCTCTAAGTCGTCCTCTCCAGCGACAGCTTTCTCCCCGGACCAGCTGGTTTCAGTAGGGGTAGCCTCCAGCACCAGCCCATTAACTGCATCAGCCACTTGGCCCTGGGCATCCTCCAGAAACAGAGTCTCCCGGATATTCTGGAGAAGAGGCCGCGCGATGGTTGGAGCTTCAGCCGGCGTGTAGGAAGGTCCCACCATGCGCCGGGGATGCGGCTGGTCGAAGAGCTGCACGACCCCGTAGGTGGTCAGGTGCGTGTGGTTGTCTACCAGATGGAGGCAGACGTTCTTCTCCTTGACAGCGTCCTTCCCCAGCAGTTTGTACCCGAAAGTGAGATCAATCCAGTGGTGGAGATCCTGAGAGACTTCCCGGCTCTCCAGCAGCATGCGGTGGACTTCAATGAACTCCTCGTAGGAGCTGCACCAGGAAGGCACGTCCAGGTCAGGCATGTCAGGATGGATGGATCGGAAGATGGAGGGGTCTGTGTAAAACTCAGGGATGCACTCGTCCGGAGTCCAGCTCTGCATGCGCTCCATGCTGGCCGGATACTCATTGGGCTCCCACTGGGACCTCACATGGCAGCACAGCACCGCCTTGGGTGTTCTCCGGGCCGTGTAAACGTAGTAGGTGATATCCGAAAGGACGTCGGAGATGTGGTGGGGGACGTGAAGTTGCTCCCCACTTGTCCCACCAGCAACAAACGCCTGCTTGGTCATCTCATAGGTGAAGTCCAGCTGCTTGTCTCCCTTGTTGAGACGGAACTTGGATTTCCTCAGGTCCCTGAACTTGCCGTTTTTGGTGGTGAAGTCCACCACCCACGGAAGCACCGGGTGGTAATTGGGGTCTCCCATTCTCCTCCCTGCCAAACTGTTCAAGTGCATAAGGTAGTCAAAGTTGCTGATTCGCCCGTGCACCCACTGCAGCACCAGGTCCCGGAGCTCCTTGTGGCAGGCCGTGCAGGCGGCCTCCTCGGCACGCGCGCCGCCCGCCTCGCTTGTCCGCTTGTCGCCGCTCTCCACGGGCTCCTTTTCCCTCTTTGGCCTCTCGTACTCACTGAAGTTCACTCGGAGGCGGCTGCAGAGCTTCTCATCCACCGCCACGTCGCGAAGGGAGACGGCGCCGCACGCCAGGCCCGCCTGGTGACAGGCCCTCATGGCCTGCAGCACGTGGAAGAGCAGGAAGAGGATCTTGGCGTGGCTGTTGGAGAGCTTGGCCGGGCTGAAGGTCACCACGTCGTGCAGGCAGAACTGCACGTAGGGGAAGATGACGTAGAGCATGTCGGCCGACTCCACGAGCGCCTCGGCTTGCAGCACGTTGGGGCAGGGCGCCGGGCCCTTGGCGTCCTTGGCGGGCGAGGCGCCGAGCGCGCCCTTGCCCACGTGCAGCACGGGGCAGCCGTAGGCTCTCTGCAGCGCGGCCCGCAGCGCGTCCAGCGCGGGCACGGCGGGCGCCGCGGGCGCCGGGCAGTAGGGCCGCGCGTAGCGCCCGTGC